AGTAAGACGGAATATTTATATTGTAAATTTGGTAAAGGACTATTCGAAAATAATTTGGAAGTAAAATTAGGAGATCAAATTATACCTCAAGTGGAAAAGTTTAGATATTTGGGAGCCATTATTCAAAATGATGGCGAAATCAGTGAAGATATTTCACATAGAATTCAAGTTGGGTGGTTTAATTGGAGAAAAGCTAAAGGAGTTATTTGTGACCGTAAGGTGCCTAATAAACTTAAAGGAAAGTTTTATCGTACTGCTATCAGACCGGCAATGTTATATAGTAGTAAATGCTGGACTCTAACGGGACAGCAAGAGCATAAAGTTAGAGTAGCAGAGATGAAAATGTTACGATGGATGTGCGGACATACACGTAAAGATAAAATTCGAAATGAGCACATACGTGAAAAAGTGAGGGTGGCACCTATTGAAGAAAAAATGGTAGAAAATCGGTTGAGATGGTTTGGGCATGTACAAAGAAGACCAAGGGAGGCACCAGTGAGAAGAGTGGAACATATAATTTTGAGTCCGATTAAGAGAGGTAGAGGAAGGTCTAAGAGAACACTCTTGGAAGTTGTTGAACGTGATTTCTTAATTAATAATATTTCTAAAAGCTTAATAAATGATAGAGCACAATGGCGTCTTGCAATCCATATAGCCGACCCCACCTAATGGGATAAAGGCTTGTTGTTGTTGTTGTTGTTGTTCTTTCTTTCTTTATACTTTTTAATGGTGTAGCTCTGCCTTTGAATTCTTATTCTGATCTTCTTTATTAAAAAACGTATTTGAATATTTTTTATATTTATTATTCCAAAGAAGTAATTTGTGCTTATTGCTTCATGGCTTATTTTAATGCTCAGTGTTCTTCATTGACTTGAAAGGATGGTTTTTTCACGTAAATAAAGTACACCAAAGACAATACAGCATTTCGAGGCTTATCCAGAGAATCAATATTAAATAATTCTTATCTATTCTTATGAATTCAAATAAATAATGATGATTTTTGTGGCCCCTGAAATATACTTTCTTAGTTGTAATGATTTTGATTTTGGGAAAGAAAGATATGATTAACAAATACACGCCCACACATACATATATACATACATTTATACACACACACATATATAAATTTAGAAAAACGTATTTGTAAATTCTTACAATTTTATTTAATTTTAAAGTAGGTCACTGTAGTTTATTTTTATTTTAATTAAGCTTTTATAGTTTAATTTATAATATATATTAAAATTTAAAGATTAAAATTAATAATGAATTATTAAATTTTACACATAAAAAATACTCTTAAAGTTTACAGAAAATTTAATTTAACATTTTAGCCAAAATAAAAATAAAAAATTGATTTAATATACTATTTGTATATTTGTTAATTCTTTTATGAAAATTCTATTTGCATATAAAAAAAATTTAAAAGAAAAACTTATAAATTCTGAGTTATAAAAATTATGTAATTAATTTTAAATCATATAATCATTTAGTAAGAATATAAAAGTTCTTAATTTTGTTTTTTGAAGGAAAAATTTTAGGATTTGAACTTTTAGGATTACAAAGTTAATTGATTAAACTATAAGAGTTTAATTAAAATAAAATAAACTCGAAGATCTAATTTAAAATTATGTGAATTATAAGGACATATAGACATATTTTTCCTGTAAATTAAGCATATGATTCCAAAATAAAGTATAAAAATCAATATGAAACTCGCCACCAACCTTTTTTAATTAATTAATAATTAATGTTCGAAGCATTTTAAACTCTACAAAAGTTTCTTTAACGTGAATGCCGGTTTATATATATATATATATATATATTGAGCCCGATTATTTGACTTGATCTATTTCCGATCTTGCCAAGTGTTGAATTTCCATGCTTATCATCGTCATAAGAATTAGGCTTTTGATTAATTCTTAAATAACATAAAGTTTACATATTAAATTCACATGTGTCAAAATTATTAGCTGTGATCGAATTTATTTTAATCATTCATATTTTGAAAAATTCTTCCAGCTACATAGAAAAGCTGGGTTAAAATTTTCTTTTATATATGCGTGTGTTAAAAGAGTAAACTAACCTTTAAACTATTGGTCCAACTATGTTTGAGATCCTAAACTCTTTTTCTTTTTTTTTTTTACATGGTTCTCCTTTAAATTTTAAAAACAGTGCAATTTAGCTTTTGTTGCTAACTAAAATTAATTTTAACTGTTAGTTAAAATGACAAAAAAACCTTAAAAATTACAAAAAAATTATACTAAAATACCAAAAAACTACAAAAAGAACTTAAAAAATTACATAAAAAACCAAAGAAATTTTGTTAGTCTCTTTCTATAATTTTTGAAGTTATTGTCCATTTTTTATAGTCAACTAATGATTAAAAGTTAACTTCTGTTAATGACAAGTACACAAATTGTATTATGTTCAAAAGTTGAAGGGTAATATGTAATAAGTTTAAAATCTCATACAATTATGAATCTATAATTTAATGGCCAATTTACTCTTTTAGGCACACATATCTTATATAGCTGGATATAGTTATCAGTCTCAGAGTAATTTTCTAAAACTGGTTATTTCACCCAAGCACTCTGAATACGATATTGTACAATATAACCATAATAATCATATGGTTAGGTATTGTTTGATAGAATCAAATCTGGTTATATAATCCCGAAGAAGTCATATTCAGTAGTAGGATTTGAACCTACAACTTTACAAATTATGAGTTAAAGTTTTATTAACTGGACCAACCTTTATTAATAGTCCTATAGTATATTTCTGCATACAAGATATTATAAGAAGAAGAAGGAAGTTGGGTGACAAAACTAGAGGCTTAATGGCTTACGTATCTGAAAGCAGTGTTCCGCTTCTGGTTTTTGTCCAACCCGCAAGTGTTTGACCGTTTGAATATTGTACCTAATTCTTTTGATGTAGTTCGTGACAAATTGAACTTCAATCCGGTGATTCTTATTCTATTTTGGCTCTTTTATCTTTAGGAAATTTTATAAATAATTTATAAATAAAAAATTAATTATTAATCGGTCCACTAAATTTTACTAATTACACTAATTAATATGTCTTCTGAAAAATTTGTATAAAAACACAAAGATGAATCGTAAATATCTAAGTTGAACTTGTAAATATTGCATGCATCAAACTTGTAAAAAGTTATATATTGAATCCCAAATCAATGAATTAGGAAAAAATTTACAAGTCTTTCTATAAATATTTATGAGCTAAACTTGAAAATTTATAACTTATCTAGTATTCATTTTGTTAAGAGTTTTTTTACATTGGATGTTAAAAATATAAGATATTTTTAATGTATAATTAATGAATTTTTTTTATCTAAGAATGCCTTTAGTAAAAATATCACCCAACTCTACACGTTTAAGCATGATACATTACTAAATAAAGACAGATATAAAAATATGATTAAGTGTAATTTAATTAAAAATGCTCTATATTTTCAAATAGTGAAAGTATATATTTTTACATCAATTATTCAAGAGACTTACTACTATGACTCAAATTTAAGAGAAATATTAATAATTAATTTTCTTACCGAGGACTTATACCTAATTTATTCTTTATTTATTTTGGCTCTTCTATATAATAACTACATGTCTATACATATATAATATAAACCTTAAATAAATTTAATTATTATAAATACTGCAATAACCAGACATAATTTATATAAAGCAAAACCTATATAATCTAATCTTGTTAAGTATAAAACTCACAATAAATCATATCACTCATAAATTATATAAACAATACTGAGCGTGCAGATTTAATATTCTACCCTCAAAATGCTTAAAATCCAATCACCAGGACACCAATATAAATATTAAAAAATAGCTTGGTAATGTTAATTACTCACTCTTCTTTCAATAATATGTTTTTCTTTCATTTTTGGGTTATTATACATCTTAAACCTCAATTGATTATGCAAATAATATCTTGAACTTTAAATTCTTGAAATATGAAAAAACTTCTCTCAACTTTTAAACTTTGAGCTTTTGAAACCTCACCATTAATTTGGAAAAAACGGTCATTACTTTTATAGTTATAGAGCTCGGTTGTATGTCAATATGATACTCATTTTAACCCTAAAAAATAACAACCGCTTTCTTCAATTAGATGGCAGGGTTTCAAGCGCTTAAAATTTAAAAGTTAAGAAGAGTTTTTAAATATTTTAAAAGTTTAAAATTAAAAATGTTATTCACGCAATAGTTTAGGATCAAAAATCTTATTAATCCTTTATTTTTTAAACTTCATAAATTCTCATAGGATGACGTGGACTTTAAGTCAAATGTAAAAAAGAGATAAAGATGAAGAGGTAACCCTACTTTAATTATTTCTATATTATTATCATTATTATCATTATTATTATTATTATTTTGTCATCCTCTAGACCTCTAACAAACAGAAGAAACTCATACACCGAGCGTAATCATGAAACAGGGACCCTACAACCTCATGTTTAAGAAAGACTAGAAGGTAGTGCTTATTGCTATAAGGCCGCAATACCATCAGGATGTTAGATTGGACTTCACTTACTCAATAAATATTTTAATTATAATTATTATCTTTCATCAATATGTAAATATTATTAAGATATATTTTATAAAAAAATTAAAACAATTCTCTTTATATTTCTTATAAAAATTTAAAATTTAATACTTCTAAAGTATTATATAAAAAAATATTTAACTGTCGTTCGTTTAAATTGAATAATTATTACTGTATAATATGAAATATTTATTAAGTGGATTTAAACTATTTATCCGATTCAAAGTAAAACGTACACGGGATTTAACATTTCATCACATATTCGTTGCACGTTTCATCTAAAATGCACTCTAGTCATGTGCTGTGTTATTATATATACATATATATATTTAGAATTATCTCATACATACAGGCATAAACACAGCCGCCCACTCCTCTTATATATCTATTTTGCTATTTTTTTTTGCCACAATATACAAATGATCAAGAGAGTCACACTCTCACACATCGTCGTCTTCTTGCTGTTATCATCGGCCGTCGTCGATGCCAAGTCAGCTCCGCAACCGGAAGCTCCTGGTAATCCTACAAGATTCCCCAACTGGGACCCATCATTCACTCCAGTGATTGCGGCCCTCGTCTGCGCCTTCTTGTTCGTTGTCTTCTTCTCCGTCTACCTCCGTCACTGCTCCGACACCGACCTAGTAGTTGCTGGAAACACCACCGCCCATTGCACTTCTTGTAGCCGTCAAGGCATCGACCCGAAATTGCTCGACGGCTTCCCCATCCTCGTGTATTCTGCCGTCAAACACCTCAAGCGTGGGAGTGCAGCGCTTGAGTGTGCCGTGTGCTTGGGCGAGTTCGATCACCACGACAGGCTCCGATTACTTCCGACATGTAACCATGTGTTTCACCCTGAATGCATCGACGCATGGTTGGCCTCCCATGTGACTTGCCCCGTTTGTCGCGCGAGGCTGACACCGGAGCACCACCGTGGCGGCAGTGGCCGCGATGATGTCGTGATAGTGATTCAGGATGAGGCAAATGCACATCAAGTGCTTGATGAAAGTTCTGAGAGTAGAAGAAGAACGGAGCTTAATTCAGGAGATCAAAGTAGTAGTAGTTTGGGTAGGTGTCATTCAACGGGTCACTCTCTGAATTTGGTTGAAACAGTAGGGAAGGACATAGAGAGGTATACTCTGAGGTTATCGGAGGATGTGAGGAAGCAGATTCTGGCGAATCACGGAGGAGGAATGCGGCGTTCCTTGAGCTATAATGTATTCCGGCCGCCGGGACGGCCAGGTGAAGGAAGCAGTGGAGAGCAATTTGTGCGTTGAACAACGACATTGACATATCCATTAATTCGTACTCACTTCATCAGGTAAGAATTTAGTTATATCAGGTATTGTTGTTATCGTTATTATTTCATACGATTAAGATACAGCTTAAAGAACATAACAGTTTAATGTCCAAATTATTATTCATTGGTGTATATTTGGATCGAATTTGAACATTGTAATTGTAATATATATAATAGCACATTTATTTGGATGATCTGTTACTGCAATCCGTTAGTTTGGTAGGGTTCCTTTTTACTTTTCAAAGGCTTATTATTAACCTTATTCTTATTTTATGAGATCTCTCAAGTTTGAGAATAAGATCAATTATACTTATAATGATGATCGGTGCGTGATGTATGAATCAGGAAGATCTCTCTTTATACATTAATAGGCAAACATGTATGTGAGAGAGCAACTAGTTAGTTTTGATCGATCTAACAATGTTTCATTTGTAAATTAACAGAGAGATAGAGGAATAAACTTTGAAAGTGATGTTGATTTCTTGCTTATTTTTTTTATATTAAATATAAGTTCAATATTTTTTCGCAACGTCTTCTTAAGGTAAAAAAATGTTTATAATGAAGCGCTAGGGTTAAGCGAAAGGATTGTGTGCTTTTGAAACGTCGTTGCATGAAAGCGATTAATTAGATGTAAATGACATGTTTACTCAAAAAAAGAAGTGAATGACATGTGGATGCATGAGATGGAGAAACTTAATTTGCTTAGTTTGAACAGCCGTTATAAGTATGATTTTTCCCTTTTTTTATTTTTAATTAGTACTCACTCAATTAAAAAATGTTAGCATTTTTAATTGAATATCACTTTTTAATAAAATAATTAATTATATTATCTTCAAGCTAAGATGATATTTTATATTTACCTTTATTTAAGCAGGTGTTTTACTTTAAAATAAATATAAAGTGATTAATTTATGATGAATAACATTAATTAAAAAATGAAATATTAAAAATGTGTTACATTTTTTAATAATCAACCTCTTAAAAAATACCTTACATTTTTTAATGGGGAAAGTAAAATGAAGAACTCATAAATTACTTAAATTTTCTCTTTAAAGATTATCAATGAAATTTAATTTATATTATATATAAATGAGTTCAGATATTAATTAAATTTATTTTCTATAAAATTTGATAACTTGTTTCTTATATTACTTGAACAAAATACTCTAATAATGTTATTGTAATGCTGTTTTTGTATATCTTGTTTTTACCCAAGAATGCCCTGTCCACATTGTGTCGGAACCCAAACACATCCAATTTTTTTAAAAAAGTCAGTAGTAAAGGGCTGCAAATGTCTTTGCTAAAACTTAGCTGCTACCAATGTTTTAAAAATCAGACTTAATATTAAACTGAACAAGTTAGCGGGTCACGATTTTTATGATTTAATCAATTGGACCAATGGTTAAACTAGTAACATAATAATTAAAATATTATAATTTTAATCTTTTAATCTTTAAATATTATAGATATTAAAGGTTTAAAATATTTTTTATCTTTATAATTTTATTTTTTAAAATATAAGGATCAATTTTTAAGTAATTAAAACTATAAGGACTGAATTGCAAAAACAAAGTTAAGGATTGATTTACGACTAAATTAAAATTGTAACGACTGAGTTACAACGAGACAAAATTCAAGAACTGAGTTACAATTAAGTTAAAACTATAGGAATTAAATAATTAATTTTTCCTTGTTTCAATCATTATGCCTTTTTAAAAATTGAAAATTTAATTAACTTTACAATATAATTAAATTAGAAAGACTACATGTAAAGAATAAAATATTATTCCTCATAATAAAAGAATATTTACAAGAAAAAGAAAAAAAATCATACTAAACTTTTGACAAAGAAAATTTAGATATAGTTCAATGTAACGTCCGCAATGCTGCTTCTAATGACACGTGTTGTATTGAACAATATCAAGAGAGAGAAGATATCTTCAGTAATTAGATTCTATAGTGGGTTTTGTAGTTCCTGTTCTCCATTGTAAGTGATGATGAGAGACCCTAAGTCCCCAAATGTTCCACTGTGAAATTCTTAATACAGCTCAGAAACAAACAATGCCACAAATGATCTCGCCAGCATAGTTGGGGATTTACCAAAAAAAAAAGAACAAGAAGTGAAGATCCTCATTATCAAGGTTGATATTGACAACATTGTAACTTTCCTTCTATTTCTTAATTCTTCACAGCCTAACTTCCCATTTTCGAAATATTAGATCTAAGTGATTAGATTCCAAATATAGAAATGTACTTTGATGAATCAAAGGTTTAATAATACAACTAGACACATTTCTAGATTATGTCTATTTACAAACTTTAAAAATTTGAAATTGCTTTGGAACTCCCTTATAATCTTTGTGGGAGAAAACCTGTGATCTTCATGTAAGGCCTCATCCCTTTTTTGCCAAATGAGATGAAGTAAAGTATATATACCTTATATATGTGAAGTTGGTTATCAGATAGAGATTCCTAGAAGTTAATTGAAGCCAATCAAGAAAGTCTTGATTTCCAATGGCTATGGATCTTATGGAAAGGGAGGCAAACTAGATAGCCTTATTAAAGAGGATATTCATAAAATAGGTGCATTAAAGCCTCTTTACAATCACATCCAAAATCACAGGAAAGAGTTATTAAGATTATGTGCCCTCAAAACATCCCCAATGGGTATAGCTTTATGCACCATCTTCCATATGAATAAGAGTATTTTGTATGGAAGATGTAGACTCCAAAGTACAGTCCAAAAGCTAGACTTGTAGGAGCATTAAATGTGGTGTCATTATTGAGCAAGCTAAATCCCCCCTTTACAATAAAGGGCTAGTATAAGAGATAGGAATCTTGAGTACAACATTTGTAGAAACATCATCATAGACTCTCTTCACAAGAGGAGTGTAACAGCTTAGATTGCAATTCTAAGAGTTTTCAGTGTTTAGGGGGTATTTTGGTAAATTTAAGTGAATTTATGATTAATGAAGTTATTGAATCATTGGACAGCCTTAGAAGAGGACTAGGTTAAAGTTTGAGTGAGCTATGGCACTGAAAGAGGTTCAAAACGTGTGTGGGACTCTCTATATCATACGACACGATAGACGTGCCAATACACCACAGTGCACGTGCAAAATTTGCACTTATCAAATTTATGAGCCAAACTAAAAATTAGAAGAGAGAAAGGGTAAATGTGAGAGAGGTGATGAATAGCGACTCATGGGAGCTAGGCTTAACATTATAAGTAATTTGGAAGCATTTGGAACAAGATTCACCCTTGGGTAAGCTTCCTACACCTCTTCCTCTTCCTTTATGCAAATTTTCTGAGGTTTGGATTAATGTGAGGTTGTGATTTCATTTTTTTTGGGTAATAACCAAATCCATCGACTTAGTTAAGGTCTTAAAGAGTTAAATCAAGCATATAAACCTAGGAATTATGGATTATATAATGATTTAAAGTTTTTAGATGGGGCTTGGATGAACCCTAGGTGGAAATTGGGAGTTTAAGAGCAATGTTTATAGAGATTTGGATTTATTTGTGTGGTTAGGTGTTAAATAGAATTAATGGAGTGTGTTGAGAAAATTGATTGGGTTAAACTAAGGTTTTTGGGTATAATGTGCACCTGAAATTATGCTAAAAATGGAGTAATTAGTATGTGGATTGATGATTAAGAATTTAATCTTGTAAATTAACTATTGATCAAGTGTTATGGTGATAGTAGACATGTGTGGAGCCATCATTTGACCATAGTAACCCTTTTAATGACAAAAGGGTTTAGGTAATTGGGTTGTCTAAACTCTCTTCTTGTGTGTTTGAATGGTTGTGTGGTAGTTATTAAGGTTAATACCTTAGTTTTGTATTAATATAGTATTAATATGAAATATTTTTATTTAAAAACTGTGTGAAGCAGGATAAAAAAGTTATGTTTTTAGTGCTATGGTTTTTCAAAGCTAAATGCTATTTTTAAAATATAATTACTTGCGAAATCTTATGGTTTGAGTAGAAATAAACCTTTTAGTGGAAATCATATGTTATGATTATATATGAAAGTTATTGAGCATATGTTTGGCATGATCATTGTAAAAGGGTAAAAGTTCACCCTAATGTGTTATTGAAAATATTATTTGAAAATTCAGATGGTACACTAGCATTATGGAGGCTTAGTGTATATTTCTATTTGCTTGAAAGTCTTAGTACTATGTGAGATAAAATAGGCATCGACACCTTTAGTATTTGTGAACAGGGAGAATCTGTGATCTATAGTAGGCGAAGGTGCTCTTAGCCAAAGCTGCCTCCTACTACTAGTAAGCTTGGGCCAATCCAGTCACATGAATTTGGTCCTATTGAGTTATTAGCCTACAAATTCGGTCAGAAGATATAAGGAGGTTATAAAGCAGAGTGTTGATTATGCATATCATTTTATAGCCATATGTGGATATGTGTTTGTAAATTGTTATATGTTTAAAATGCCACTTCACATGCACACTATATGTTCTTTCACACGAGTAGTTTGATTAGACTATTTGGTTATAGAATCCTTGACTCACCCCATGGTTACAATTTTTAAGTGAAGGCTCTAATAGGGGCAAGGGAAAGGAAGGTGCGACTGAGCGTCGAGGGGACTAGCTAGTGTTTGTATAGTCCTTTCTATTCTTTTTTTGTTTGTAACAAATGATACATGAATATACCAACTTAGAAATCATATGTTATTTTGAGAGTATTTGCATGAATTATGTTGCAATTGTAGGTATCTTAGCCTGAATTCATATTTTTGATGTAATGGCTATGAGAGGTTGAGATACTAGTGCAAGGGTTATTTTGTATTGATTTATGTATTGTCATGGCCTTATGAATGATTATGGCATTGTTATTGTACCCTTTTGGATTCAAGCTAAATTGGCATTTGTATGTTCAATTTGTGTCTACAATGTTGTTGTTGTGGTTTGAATGCATGAATAGGTTATTTGTGGTTCATTTGAGTTATTTCAAGT